ACAGAGTCCCATTTCAAGCCATTCCTGCTCCAGCATGTCAGAGCTACAGCATCATACCAATAACAAAGATCCTGCAGTTGGTGAAGACTCTGCTGATGTTGTGTTGAAGAGGATCAGAAGTGAAGCAGAGCTTAAAAGCCTGAGTCGTGACGGTACAAAGCTTTTACCAAGATCTCAAAGCCAGGAAACACTTGGTGAACACCCTATAACTCAGTATCACCGACCCTTATTAAAAACAAGTAGCAAGGTTGATGCTCACAGAGTAAAAGTCACATATGGAGATGAGAAAACCCGGTTTCGGATGCTGAAGAGTTGGGGCTATGAAGATCTTCTGCAGGAAATTGCTAGGAGATTTAATGTGAGTGACATGAGAAAATTTGATGTGAAATACTTGGATGATGATTGTGAGTGGGTACTACTTACTTGTGATGCTGATTTAGAGGAGTGCATTGATGTTTGTCAATCTTCTGAGAGTAGTACCATCAAACTTTGTCTACACGCTTCTAGTCATAGTATGAGAAGTTCTTTAGAGTTTAGATAACAGATTGATTGTAAATTGTAAGATCCTTTGTCATGTATGTGAATTAGTCTTAGAAAAGATACGATTCTTTTTATGTGGAAAAAATTATTATTTTGGCAGGATATAAGGATAAGCTTTCGCTTATACTTGTGCTCCAAGCAATAAGCAGATTCAGCTTTTGTTTGTTTGGTATAATATAATACGACTTGTGAGATTTACTTCTCAGTCTGAGTTTCTCCGTTTAGAGTTTGACTAATGGATATCATATAGTGTGTTTGTTCTTCATGTTTAATTGCCTTGGAAAGTGGAGAATGAGAGCATACAAATACACTTCCAATCTCTTTTTCCTGATATGGGATCTCTTTTTTTCTTGGTTGGATTACACCTAAAGAAAATTCTAAATGTAGTTATCATACTTGTCGAGGGCTATCTTAAATTTTGGAAGGAAATAATCCGAAGGCAAAATAATAGTTTTGATATTTTCTTGCATGAACCATCGTTTAGAGTTTAGTTTATTTGAAACACCTTTGAGATTCGTCAAATGTTGTTTCCAACGCAGCAATGACGTAATGTAGCTGTGTTTCTATTATTTGTCTCCATCATATTTCCACTGATCCATGCTGCACTAGCAACTTTGAGATTTCACCTAACAAATTAATTTAATTAGTTACTTTACAATTGGATGTCCGTATTTTAAAAAAACTCCGAGCCTTTTGTCTTTTTGGCAATTACATCACTGAAAAACCATTTTTTTCCCTTGGAAATACGGGTAACGTCTCGAAAGATACTTAAATTATTAAAAAAAATGTCATTTACTCCCAATACAAAAACAACATTCAAATTGCTATAATTTGGGCCCCATCCGGTGTGAATTTCCTAAGACTATCAATCATATAGTATTAAAAGAATATTTGAAATTCATCATTTTCACACAATAAAAAAATAGTGTATACTTTTTTTATAACAGAAACTCCCTTAAATTTTAGAATATTTTGATCTCTCTTTGACTCTTCTTTCTATTTTCTTTATTTTCTGTAATGGTTAGAATTTGAAAGAATATTTTTCTGTCAGAGAGACCTTGTTATTTATAACTTCTTAAAATTATTCCATTAAACTCATTTATAATTTAGTCCTTGATTATTTAATTATTAATCCCTTTATATATCACATATTTCTCACATGAGACGAATATCTTACATTCTCCTACTTGGTTGGCTCATGTGACATTTCTCATAATAGACAAATAAATTAATTAATTAAACTAACATAATGTGCATTAAAATAACCAAATCATTTTATACATTGGGTTCATCATAATTTATAATTAAGAATATGAACTAATTTAATTAATGACAAATGTATATCACTTTAACCGATATAGTCCCTCCCATTTACTACAAACTAGTCGTCTCTTTAATATGACCATTAATAAAGAGCACATAATTAGTTCAAAATGATGTCTTTATTTAAGATAATACATGCTTACATTACTGTAAAACAAATATGCATGCGACCATAGAGAATAAGTAATAAAAAAAATACCATTAATGAACTCAAAGTGTTAATCACTTAATGCAAAATAAACATAATATCAAGAGTCGTTACTAACAATAATGCCCATATTTTCAACATGCTCAATGAATGTTTTTGATCCCTATGTTAAAGGATTTGCTATCATAAGGTTTGTGCTAATATATTATATCGACACTCTTTGTTTTTGAACTTCTTCCTTCACGATAGAGTACTTTAATTTCATATGTTTACACCCTTAGAGTACATTTTGTTCTTAGAGGGAAACACTGTTGTAGAATTATCACAATACATTTTCAGCAACTTAGTAATACTGTCAACAATCCTAAGCCTTGAAATAAAGTTTCACAACCAATTAACTAGAATTGAAGCCACAAAACATGTTACAAATTCAACTTCCATGGTCGATGAAGCAACAACTAATTATTTTGCACTCTTCCACGATATTGCTCCTTCAGTTAAAAGAAATACATAGCCAATAGTGAATTTTCTTGAAACCAAACATTTAACAAAGTTTGAGTCTGAATATTCAATCACCTCAAGGTGATTATACCTCCTATATGTAAGCATGTAACTCTTCAATCCCTATAAGTATCTCAAAAAAATTTTTTGTAGCTTTCCAATGTTCCATGCCTAGGATACTTTGATATCTTCCTAACATTCCAACTGCAAAACTTATATTTGGTCTAGTACAACTTTGAGCATACATAGTACTTCTAATGCATATGAAATTGCTTCCATTTGTTTTTGTTCCAAGTCATTTTTAGGGCATTAAACAAGACTAAACTTGTCTCCTTTCTGAATTGGAACGAGTGATGCTAAGCTCTTTTTGATCTTGAATCTCTGTAGTACTTTACTGATATATGCTTTTTGAGACAAGCTTAACACTCCTTGTGATCCATCTAAAAATATTTTTGTTCCTATCAGATAGCTTGCCTCATCCATATCCTTCATTTCAAAGTTACTAAAGAAAAACTTCTTAGTCTTATGAAAAAAAAAAACTAAGATCATTAGTTGTTAGCAAAATATTATCAACATATAAAATTAAAAAATGAGAGTGAAATTATGTTGAGATATTAAAACATGTTACTACAAGATCATTCTTTTATATATATATATATATATATATATATATATATCACATACATACACACACTGATCAACATAGTGTTTTCTTTAAATCTAAAACAAATAATGGTATCATTAAACTTCAAAAATCATTGGCAGGAAGCTTGCTTAAGTTTGTATACTGATTTTTTTAATTTGCATATCATATGCTCCTTTCCTTCAATCGAGTACCTCATTAGTTGATTCATGTAAACATTTTCTTCTAAATCTGCATTTAGAAAGGCGTTTTCACACTCATTTGATGTGGCTCTAAGTCATAATAGAGTAGTAATGTCATGATAATTCTGAAAGAATCTTTTCATGAAACGAGTGAAAAAGTTTCTTTATAATAAATGTCATCCTTTTGAGTAAAACTCTTAGCAACAAGTCTAGTATTGTATTGTTCAAGGTTTCCATAAAAGTCATGTTTAGTCTTAAAACCCCATTTACAACTGACTCTTTTACAACTTTCTAGCTATTCTACAAGGTCTCAAACATCATTTTGTTCCACGGATTTTAGTTATTCTTTCATGACATTTAATCACTTCTGAGAATTATCACAACTTATAACTTATGAAAACGAAATTGGATCATTGTCATTAACGCTTAAGTCAATTTGACTCATGTAGCTATACCATATAATCATTCAAAATAGCTAGTCTCCTTTCTCTTTGAAACCTCCTTAATGTTATTTCTTGTGATTCTTCTACAATAGGTTCATTATGGATCATGGGTTTATTATTGTGTTCTTCTTCTTCATTGTTGTTTGACACAACAATTAAAGGAACATTTACTTTATTGCTAGAGACATAAGTTAAAGGAACTTGTACTCTAACTTCTTTAACTTCCACTTCTCGTGGAATTGTACTCCCGCTAATTTCACCATTTTCAATGAATCTTGCATTTTTAGTTTCAACAATTTCCATACTATAATTAGAACAGTAAAACATATACCCTTTGATTTTTTTGGATAACCAATGAAATATCCACTAATTGTTCCAGCATCCAACTTTCTTTTCTTGCGAATTGTAAATCCTTATTTTTTGTCTATAAATCTCAAACATAAACTAGATGTCCTACCAATTCACAATTCAAAAGGTGTCTTTGAAACTACTTTACTAGGAACCCTATTTAACAAATAGATGGAAGTTTTCAAGGCATACATCCATAAATATATGGATAAAGTTGAATTATTTAACATACTCCTAACCATATCTATTAATGTTCTATTACACCTTTTTAATACACCATTTTGTTGTGGTGTACTTGGCATTGTGTATTGTGCATAAATGTCACATTTTTAAAGGAGTTTAGTGAATGGACCTAAGTGTTGCCCAGTTTCGTCATATCTTCCATAATACTCAACACCTCTATTAGATATGACAACTTTCACTTTTTTTGTTTAGTTGCCTTTATACTTCATTCAAATAAATTTCCAAGGCATCACTACTTGAGATTTCTCACTACAATAAATAGACATAAATAGTCATATATATAAGGGTAATGAAGTACTTTTCCTTTCTAAAAGAATTGACATCAAAAGGTCCACATATATCAATATGCACAATTTCAAGAAGTTGAGTGATTCTTGTAACTCTTATCTTTGTGTTTTTTTTTGTTTTCCTTTAATATATCCCACACAAATATTTAGATCTGTGAAATCTAGATTTAGAAGAATTCCATTCTTTATTTCTTTCTCTATAAATGTGACCCAAACATTTATGCCATAAGAAAGCATAACATTCATCTACTAAACTATGTTTAGTACCAATGTTATGATACAAAATTAAGAGGATTCCAATGTACAAACCATCTAAATTTAATTTATATAAATCATCACAAAGAATATCAGTACCAATGAGATGATTATACTTAAATAAATTGGAACATTCATTATCAAAATTAAAAGAGTATCCAATAACATCAAGTTTAGATAATAAAACTAAATTCCTAGATAAACTAGGTACATAAAGAGTTTCCGATAAATATAAATGATATCCAATATCAAGATTTAAACGATAAGTCCCAACTACTTCTGTAGGAGCTTGCACTTTATTCCCCATGAAGACAAACTTCTCATTTGGGTTTACAGCTTGGATTTTAATGAATCTCCGCATCATATTAGAAACTTGATTTGTACATCCAAAATCAATCCACCATGTATTATGGGGAACTTTAGTTAAATTTGATTTAAAACATACATAAGCATTAAGCTTATCTTTCTTTTCAAACCAAACATTATATTTTGGGCAATTCTAGAAATATTCAGATTTCCCATTTAAATGATAATTATTACCCACTGATACTTTCTTCTAGATTTGCGCAAATGCCTCATCAATCTTTAATGGACCTTTGTCCTTATCATGTTTCTTTACAAATTTCTTTCCAACTCCTTGATTTCCTTGGTGACTTACATAATGAATTGAGTGACTTCCTTGATTCTTAAGCCTCGTTTCCTCTTAAACGAACATATTGTGCAATTCAAGGACGGATCTACAAGGAAGAGAGTAGGGGCACTTGCCCCACTACTATTTTACACAAGTTTGGAATGGCCCGTTCCAGTTTAGAAATGACCTGTTCTAGGCTACTAAATAATCCTTATATGGCTTTGA